CTTTCCCTTCCTTTCCACCCTTCCTAGATATGGACTTTGAAGAACCAACAGTAACCCTTGAATGGGGCTAATGTTGCTTTCAAAGTTAACTCTGTCTTGGTACATTTGTATTGCCTGAGTGGCAAGAGTGGACTCTTTGCTCCTGGCTTACCTCCTGAAACGTGGGTGTAGACTGAGCTTGGTGTCCTCCTCTACAAATGTGGAATAAGACACGACTTTAGAAATGCTGTAATGTTGATGTAGAATATATTTTTTGTTGGTTTCCCTAGCAGTCATCCCTTCTCTTTACCCTCCTCCACCACCCTGCTTCTGTTCCTGAAGCCTTCCAGGCTGAGTGCAGTGGTTCTGAGGGGGTGCTTAGTGACCCCCCCACCACACACTGCCCCAGTGCCCAGTCCTGCCAGAGCCCCACCAGTCACAGGGCTGGGCACTGCCCTCCGTGCTTCTCCTTCTTTGGCACTTAATTCCTGCTTGCTGCAAAACAAAGTGAAAAAAAAAAAAAGAACCCAAAAGCAGAACAACTTGGATGTGGAGCTTGTGTGACAGCTGAGGAGATAATGGGGGTTGAAAGATGTACTGACTGGGTGGCCGTGAAAATTGCTAAGTAGAAGTACTGTGATCAGTGATTTAGTAGCAATAATTAAGACTGAAATAAGCAGGTAAATATTGAAATGAGCTTTGCTTATCAGTCCCTAATAATGACTTTTTAAAACCTTCACAGAATGTCAGTTCACCTTTGAGAAGGCTATAGAGTACGTACCATTCGGTATGTACACTCTCTCCTCTATTTATAATGTACCTCTTGGGAGGGTTTTTTTGATTGTGTGATACTGTTTTTATGAACATCAAACCCCTCTTTTATAAAAGACAACCTTGCTTGACTTCTCAGGAAAAAAAAATAATACTGAATTGAAATGAACTGCATGAGAGTTTGTATTTCTTGCAGGCTATAGAATGTTAACAGTTTTAACTAATTACTAATAATTCCTAAAGAAAATTATTCCAGAATTTGTACTTGTTCTTGTTTGGTTTTTGTTTCTGTTTTTGTTTTTTATATCTTGTCCATGGTTTTTTATGTGTTAAAAACTTTTTGTCTTTTTTATGTCTCATTTTTAGAAGCTGCTAACTTGTGCCAAACCTCCACTGCTGCTACTACGCCTGTGACTCTTACTACTCCATTCAATATAACGTCCTCTGTGGCTTCTGGGACTATCACAAACCCAGTCACAGTGGCAGCTGCAATGAGCATGAGAAGTCCAGTAAATGTATCAAGTGCAGTTAATATATCCAGTCCGATGAACCTAGGGCATCCTGTAACTATAACCAGTCCATTATCCATGACATCTCCATTAACGCTCACCACACCGGTCAATTTACCCACCCCAGTAACCGCTCCAGTGAATATTGCCCATCCAGTCACTATAACATCTCCCATGAACCTCCCCACACCCATGACGTTAGCTGGTCCCCTAAACATAGCCATGAGACCAGTTGAGAGCATGCCTTTCCTGCCCCAGGCCTTGCCCACCTCTCCTCCCTGGTAAAGAGTTTCTAAACAGTATTAAAAAGGATTAAAATGGAATCCTTACCAGCAGGTTTTGTTTTGTTTTGGGTTTCTTTTTTGGGTTTTGGTTGGGTTTTTTTGTTTTGTTTTGTTTTTTTGTTTTGGTTCTCCTTTTTTTATTGTTGTTTTGGTTCTTTTTTTTTTTTTTTTTCGTTTTGTTTTGGTTCTTGTTTCATTTTGTTTTAGTTAATAATAAATTCAGACTTAAGACACTGGGGCAACATGCACCATCAGAGACCTTAGTAGCATCTTCCCCTGTTGATTTGGCTCATATGGTTCCACCTTGAGTTTCACTGGAGCACTTCATTGAAAGGAAGTTGTACCTTCTAGTTGATGCAGAATTAGAGCAGATACTTTGCCAGAGGTTTATTAAAAAAAAAAAAATAATAAAAAAAGAGGTTTATGTTTTATCCCCCAAATTATAACTTAGAAAGTTATTTTAATCTAAACACTAGCAAAGACCCCTCTGTACCTTCAACAAGGTGGATGGCTCATTTTAACTTGCCAGTTGTTAAATCCACAGTTTTTGAGCTAGTGTAGAATCTTTGTCTGTGTTAATGTTTTTTTTTGTTGTTTTTTTTCTTTCTTTTTTTCTTTTTTGTTTTGTTGTTTTTTGTTTTTTTTTTTTTAATGAGTAAATGCATTACAATGTTGTCATTGAAAAAAAAAATGCATTTTGGAGAAAATATGCATTTTTACCTTTGGGAATATGGTAATTTCAGGCAGCATTCCCTATGGGAAAGGTGATACCAGCTCTGATATGCAAAGCATATGATAACTTATCATTCTAACTTCAACATATAATAGGGATTGTGACCTGATATTTGGAGATGTAAATATTACCCAACATATTACCCTAAGGGAATATAGCATTGTAGTCAACCTTTTTTTTAAAAAAAAACTGTTATTGTTTGGTGAGAAACAGCCATGGCTGACAGAAGAGGAGTCGAAATGTATGTAAACATGGTCTCTGAACAGTCAGACCCCTATGGGACTCTTATCTAGGAGCAAAAGGAGTGCTTTGAAACTTAAGAATTATTGCTTTAAGCTGGAAGATTCTGGAGACACTGGGTATGATTTTTATGCCCTTTGCCTCCCAATCAGAGCCTGCTGGTGTTAACAGCGGGGGACAGACGTGTTAGTTGTTCACTAGAAGTTTTGTCTTATATTAAATTGTATACAGTTTTTATTCTAACCACTAACTAGGTAGGATGCCCCTCCAGGACAAGCAGAGAGCGTCTTTTAATTTCTCCCCTATTCCTTAATTAAGTGTTGTGCAAATCTGTTCAACTTTGTAAATATTTGCAAACATCATCATTTTTACGTTACTCTTCTATTGTGTTAACACATTTCTATCAGTTTGTGGGAGTTCTGGGGTGATGGTTTGAACCATCCAGGCCAGAACTTCCCCACAAATGGTCACACATGTTTTAAGCTACATGTGCTTTTTATTTCTTAACCTGTTTATCTGTACATAAAGTAGAAAGCAAAATCTAGGGAAACAGATATACTTTTTAGACTATCATGTCACATATTCACCTTTTTAAAAACTTTGTTTAAAAAGCAAAACACCCTAAACCCAAGACTCTACATGAAAAAGAAAAAAAATAATAAAAAAATTAAAAAATAATAAAATTACAGTTGAGATGTTTTTATCTTAATGAAGTTGAAAGCTATGGAGATGAGTGTGTGCATTTTCACAGAGTTGCTAGCAGGACTGCCCAGTCAGATGGACTGCTGCTGTTCCTACCCTGCCATGTCAGTGCAAGCAGTGATTGCCAGGCTGCTGGCTCAGGTGACAGGTATCTGTATCATTACATGAAACTGTTCTAGGGGGCTTGGACTACATAGTAAAACAAAAACAACAACAACAACAACAAAAAATAGAGCTTAGTGTAAAATAATTTTATAAATGATCTTTTGTACTTTAGGACATCAAATTGTACAACTTTTGTATATATAAAAGCTTAGGAACTTTCTGTTTAGCAGAAAGGAAACACATTCCTACACTTTTAATGTATATGTTTGTTATAATGTCCATGTAAACATATGCCCTATGTTTGTGCCTTTTAATTAGTTTGTCTCAATAAACAAAAATGTAGAGAAGAATATGTAGCTATGACTTTGTTACCACTGTTCTCACTCCAGGTGTGTAGAGGTCTTTGTTTTTGCACTGTGTAGAGCCTTGCGTGCAGACAGCTGCATGACTTGGGCTGCTCTGGCCAAGAGGAGGCATGTGAGGCCAAGGCACCCCAAAACGCCCCAAAACACCCCAAAACACCTCCGTGCCCCGCAGCGCTGCTGGGGCCTTGCATGTTGGGATGTGTAGTTTCCAAGCCCACCTCTGTTCCCTGTGGCCACCATACCAACTCACACCAGTTTCCCACAGTAGGTGTAGTGCTCTGGAGCTGGGACAGTCAGCAGGGATGACCCTTAGATGAAATCTGGGTGTCCCTGAGCTTAAAAATACCCAGAGCATTAAAAGCCAATACGAAAATGTGTACGAGAAGTGGTTATCTATGAATTACTTACAATAAACAGGTGTGAGACTGAATTGTATGTTGTCAATTACTGTAGTATTGGCAGTGGCTCCTCGTCCAGCTAGGCTGCCCTCCTGATGCTATTTTTATCCCAGCAGAGTAGCAGTAGAATAAACACATTAAACACCGGCGAGGAAATTTTTCAGTGTGACAGAGGCTTCCCAAACCACTAACCACCGTGCTCTTAGCATGGGATAGGAAAAGGGCTGTTTCCTTTTTATTTTATGTTGGTTCTGCTCAAATGTACCTGGTTTATGTCCACAAAGCTACATTAGCTAATTGTCAACCTGTTTCATTTGTACTTGGGTAAACATTTGCTTTGTACTGTGTATAAATGGTTCCGAGGTGTGCACCTTGCCTGTCTCGCTACAGACATTAATTTCACTTTGTAATGCCATCATACGAAATACATTAAGCTGGTTTTTGACAAACAAAAGCTACCTGGTCAAGTAGTTTGTACGGTGTGTCTGCTACCTGCTAGTGGCCAGTTCCTCCCCAGTGTGTGGAGGCAACAGGCCAGTGGCTGTGGGGACATGACATGTAGATGCACGACGGCGATGAGTGATCTGTCACGGCAGCTCCCGTCACGGCAGCACTGGGAAGTTCAGACTAAGAAAATGGTGGATGTGAAGAACAGATGCTCCTGTTACACCGAGTTAGTTTCTATGCAGCTGATGTGCTTAGCCTAGTTTATTTCATGGAAACTTTTAAGCTGGATCTAGTCCAACAGCCAGGGAAGCCTATTGCTGCCGTTGGTTGGAGTGGGTTTTATATCGAGCCCATTCAGGTCTCCGATTGCAAGGAGTTCAATAGGGGTTTTCTTTCTTTCGTCTTTAGTTTCCATAAGCATTCAGCCTGAGGTTAATGGCTGAGCACCGACTGAAAGTTTGAAAGTTGAATTTTGCCTGGGAAGGATTCGTGCTGTGGAAAGTCAGAACAGTCAGATCAATGGCAGAAAAACTCGGGGCAAGGAGAGGCTGCGGGCGAGGCGCTGCGGGGAAGCGGCCACGGGGAAGGAAGTTTTGTGGCACAGGCACCCAAGCTGCCAGGAAATCGTGTCAATGCTTTACCTCGGGCACGTTTGGTTTTATTTTTTTTTATTTGGAACACCCCACCACTTCTAGAGGGTGTTTGGGGTGAGGAGAAATTGGGGATTTGACCTTTTTATGTCTTAACCGTTGGAGTGTTATCCCAGAGTGTTGTGAACTGGAAAGATTCCTGTTCAGCCCAGATCACAGATGAGAGAGAAACTCGTGTTATTCTCAACATGTGAGTTAAATTCTATTTGCCATTGTTCACAAATAAAATAATTTTTCCCCCCTCTCACAATAACTTTTTCTTTAGAGTAGCAGAAGAAACAAGTATTTAATGTGTTTGCATTTGTCCACGAGAGGTTTAAAGAAAAACACCAAAACCCCAATAAGCTGTTTTAGCTGCAGCAATCCCAGGTTACATAAAGGGGCCGGGGTTGCTGAGGGATTAGTCGGTGGCATTACTGGTGGTGATAAGCCCTCCAAGTTCTGCTCTCTCTTCCCTCACTTTTATTTTTGAAACAGTCGCTCTGAGTCATACTTTGTAAACTGTCTGGGGTTAATTTTTGAGGCTCTTTGGGTCAGGTTCTCACCAAAGAAAGAACACTCAGGTTTTTAAAAGCATCCAGTGCTCTGATACTTATTTTCAAGCTCTGGGTCCCTTGTGTGGGAGCTGAGTTGTTGAGAAGTGAAGTACAGCTTTTCACTGCTGGGTCCTTCTGAAAACTGCCCTGCTCTGTTGGTGGCTGAGTTTATCCATCTCAAAAATAGATTTAACAGTATTTTCAAAAGCCAGCTATTAAAAGCACTTCAAGTTTTTAAATGCCTTTGAGGTCTGTCCCAGTGCTTAAGTGGAACTTTTTAGGATAAACAGCAAGTGTAAAAATAAATCTCTTCCTCTCTTAATTGTCAGCCAGAATAAAACTTAAAACTCAATCCCCTTCTACCTATTTGTGTAATTCAACATGTTTATGCTTCTTATCTTTGGATCATTCTCTCACAGCTTCCAGAGCAGCAACTGAAGGATGATAGAGGAACTACGTGCTAATTTTTATGTCAAAAATAGCTTTCAACTTTAAATGCTGAAGGCTCAGTGACTGTTTTCTAATTACAAAAAGAATGCCTGAGCTTCTCTTGCGAATCCATTTTACAGCTGTGTTCAGATTTGACTGTCAGCCCCTGGTTAAAATTCAGTACTGAGGTCCTGACCTAGAAACAAACCTTTTTTGGTATTGGTTTGGAAAAAGTATTTAAGTGCTAAGAGAAACTGAGCCAGGCTGGCCAGCTAGTTCCCTCCTCACTGGCTGGTGAGAGCATTCAATCTTAAATTAGTTTGGTTGCACATTGCATCTCCTGAAGCCCAAGTCAGACTGATAGGAAAGCTGGACTTAGGATTTTTAAAAAAAATAATACATTTATATATTTAATTTTTTTTGTTATTCAAGTTTCTGGGCTAATTTGAACCACTTTTAAAATCCCTGAGTTTTTCTTGAAGGAAGCATAAGCACCTTTTTGAAAATGAGACATTTGTAAATTTCAAAGTGGGCACCTGACCTGCCTGTGTCAGTACAGACCTCTGCTTTCCCTGCAAAGCCTTTCCAGTTGCTACCTCCAAAGACAACTCATTCAGTAAAAAAAAAACCCACCAAACATCCAAGGGGCATGTTCAGAGTGGATGGCACCTTTTGTTGTTCAGAGAAGGCAGAAATACTCCACCTTTTCACCACCTGTCGAGACAAAACCATTTCTGTTCTGTGTTTCCTGTGCAAGGTTTGTTTTTCAGGGAATCACCAGTGTAGCTGGAACTGGCTGAATTAAATTCACTACTTGAATTCTTTTTAGTTGTGTATTTTTATTCCTGTTTGGTTTTACTTCCCAGCGTCATTCCCAGCCTGTCTCCAAGGACAGTAAAGAAATCTGGTAAAAAATCACCTGTTTCTCCTGAAAACAAGCCTGGATGAGGAAAAAAAGATGGCAAGTCAACAAAGCTCAGTGCAAGGTGCTGTGCCACAGGAGGGAGGCTGATCTGCCCTTGACTTTGGGAAAGCACATGAGGCACCTGGAAAAGCAAAGCTTTGCCTCTCACCTTTTCCTTCTGACTGATGTCTGTGTTCCTTGGCAAAGCCTTACAGGTTTTTTACTCGGGCTAAGCATCATTTAGCTGCCAGACAAGGACGACATGAGCCTTGGGACCACCCCAAGCTAACCCTAACCCCGCAGACGCGGTGGGTGCTGCGGGATGTGGCTGCTGTTGCCCAGCGGAGCTTCGAGGGAAGTGGAAGCGGTGACCTCCTGCTGCTGTTCAGCGTCTCGCCCTGCTCTCTGCAAAGCGGGAAGTGTTTGCCCTGTGTAAATTGGCTCCTGTCACTTGTAAGAGGAGAT